TGCTCTCTTCTCCTGCAGCTTAGCCCATTTGCTTGTAGCCTTTACTTCTGGACTGCCTTACTGCAGTACCGCCAGCTCCAGAATAGTCACTCCCCCAGGGGTAGCTCCTATCCCTATTGTTTCTAGCCCGCTTGCTTCCTGCCCAGCTGTCAGCCCTATACAACAATGGGACTGTTTAGTGCTGAGCTGTCCTAAAAATCTGGCCTTACATGGACGTTAGTTTAACTCTTCAGAGAGGCTGACTAGTCATTTCTGTGTGGCTACCATGGGTCTATTCAAAGGGGTGGAAAGAATTAAAGACACTTGTATCAGGGTTGATGGTACTTTTATTAAGAGGTTAGATTACGGATGGATAGGATGATCTTGCTTCAGGCAGGGGGCTGGACTAGATGACGTATGGAGGTCCTTCCAGCCCTACTTCTCCATGGTATCTCTGAAGACAGTGATAGGACCAGAAGTGCCCTGTTAATTTCTCCCTAGGTTCATGAGCGTCTGAAGGACTCTCAATAACCAGAAAACATCAGGGATGTCATGAGTGGTTTATAAGATAAGATCTCTTATATTGTTCTAGTCATAAACTTTATTCCAGAGAGCTCAACAGGTCCTGGACATGACTCATATCACATCCTAATGGCACAAAGATAATGGGCAAGCTGGAAAGGAAGGATGGGAACTAGTCTGGAACTCTAGGGACCCTTACTCTGCTGGAAACTTCCTGCACAACCTAAGGCTACAGTTTCTAAGGTCCAAGGTGACAAAAGGCACAGAAGGCAGACTAGTAGGATTTCCTGTAAAATGCCTTGAGACCTAAATTGTTGCAGAAGCCAAGGGGAAGATGGCAACAAGGTGTATTTGAACATCCCTCACCTCATATATCTTCATCTTTGAGAACCGACAGAACTTGAGGATTTGGCTTTTAGTCCCCCTGTGCATCAATACCCATCCATAAAACGTGCATAATGGTACTTCCCTACCTCCCAGAGGTATTGAGAGGACAAATCTATTAAAGATACAAACCCTGGTTCATTTTACCTGCTATTTCAAGCTCTACCAGTACCTATTCTACCGAGCATGCAAACACAATTAAGCAGTAATCTTGATTGCTTTGAAATAGATGAATAAATATGTAATGGCTGCAATTAACTCCCCTGAATGCCATTGCTGTGACAGATCAATTCCTGCCAGCCACCAGAGAACATGAATAGAGTGCTTGCCTCCCCGACTCCCCATTCCTTTTGGAAACACAGCTCCAAACTCTTGTACATTGTCTAGTGAGAAAGATCCCTTGACTAGTACTCGCAAATACCAGCACTAAAATAGCTGACACATTCCTTTTTCAAAAAAAGTGCTGGCATGCTAACTCTTCCCATGACAGCCATGGCTGTGAGTAGGGAGCCAGAGGTGTGGGGAGGGCAGTTATATGACTGAAATCCTATAAAACTGTGTTCAGAGACTGCATGGTGACTCACCTAGATGCTCAGCATTCAAGAATTAAAAATGTCCATCCAAATGTCACATTTCTGGGTGTGCACTGGGTACTGCCCCCCAAAATCAGTGTAATGGTATCCAAGCCCTGACATTAAATGGGTACCCTAGCTCCCTTAAGCCACCTTGAAAATCCCAGCCTAAAAAAAACTTGGAGGTGCTCATTCCCAGGGACTTGTAAGCATCCGTGGTTTGACACGGACATCTGCATTCCAGGCTCTGTAATTCATCATTTTCAGAGAGAAGCGAGAATCAGAACACCTGTGTCCCAGGGATTTGGTAAGAAGGGTCAGGCACCCCCACTCCTCACCTTGCTGTCTCCTCTCTCTCTGGGCAGCTTATGCATTGTTCAGCTGAAGAGTTTCTTCAGGTAGGTTCTGTACAACACAAAATAGCTACTCTTGGGAGCTGGATGCTTACCTGCAGAAGATTTTAACAATGCTCAACCAAACTCCTGAATCTGTGGACCTGATTCACTGCAGAATGAATCCAGTCTTGTGCCCGCAGAGATCTCACACATAAAACTGAAGTTGAACTGTGCTGAATCAAGCCCTGTAGTACTTAAAAGAAATGAGCTCTTCCTAAGTATTACTGAAAGCAGACATGATTACTTCCTTCCATGTCCCCCATCCTAGGAAGTAGGGCCTGATTTTTCCATGGCTTCAGAAGGAGTTCTGGGTGCCTCCTCTGATCTAAAAATCAGGCCTACAATGACAAAAGGAACTTCCTAAAGCAAGACATTATGGTCCTGTCTCTTTTGATGCAGGATAATTGCCCTTAGTACAGCAGATACTAAGATGACCAGGACAGTGCATAAGAACATTGTTACAGTGATATTATTTATATCTTGTAGGCAATGAGGTGTGCAAAACCTCTTGGGAACAAAGGACTGAAAGCCCAAATTCAGAAACTAAAGATCAACTGGGTTGATTTTTTTCACTATTAATAAACTATTTCTGAGGGCTTAGTGGAAACGGACATAAAATGGCTGCACTTTTAAAACAATGTGAAGAGAGCAGGGCACGTTACCCAGGAAAACTGATTTCCGCTGTAATTACTTTCCCGCTTATTGAGGTTTCACACAGGGTGAAGGGTCACTGATGAAGGACTGTGCTGTTCTGTGAAAAATAATGTTGCTGTATGGCTCTGTTTTGTGGTCACAAGGCAATGGTAGGAATGTAAAAGCAATTTGCTATGTTTGCTCAGGTATAGAAGGGAATGACTCCTGAGTACGAGAGCTCAGCCCTCCAAGGTGGCTCCATCTGGTGCACAGAAATGAGAGCAGCCCAACTCTCTCCCGCAAGTTCAGTGGGACCAGTCCTCGGCTTTTAGTTAAGCACATGTTAAAGTGTTTTGCTGGATTGGGGACAGAGCGCTTGGCACCTGGCAGGGTCAAGTGTTATAGCAAAAGGAAAAGAGACTGGGACTGTAAATAGACATCTCATCTGAGGCAGTCCCAGGTCTGACCTGAATCAAGACAGAAGTGGCACGGCCATTTACATCTGTAGCCCCTCTGAGCTGCATTGCTGCTCCCCTGCCAGTAGATGGCTAATGAGAGCACACACCCTGCCAGGCTTGTCGTCCCTAGAATGTCTCTCAATAAGCTTGCAGGGTGATACCCTTGGGAAAAGAGTTAGCACATATTATCATTTTATCTCACACAAGTCTCAGGCACTTAAAGCATGACAATAGACATGTATGTCTGCAGGAGCCTGGAACAAAAAGCTTTGTCCTCAGAAAAACATGAAGTCCCTTTATACAGCCTCAATCTTTCTCTTTATCAGAGACTAGCTACCTTGGGGCAGTGTGGCATAGGATCTCTAGGGACTAAACAGGGAATACTTAATGTATACCAGCTGAAGCACTGGCCCTTTTAATGGTAATGCTTGTCCTTGGTGAGAATCCTTAAAAAACAGGTGGAGGAAGAAAACAAGACGAATGTAAGCTACTGAGGATACATAATTTTTGCAATGCTTATTTTACTTGTTACTAAAATTATCATCCATAGTCCTGCATCAGCTTTCCTCAACCTCTGGTACGTTTCCGAGAAGCTATAAAAGGACATTCCCTATCAGAAGGTGAACGGAGAATTTTCAGCTCATTGACGAAAGAAAGGAAATAATAACCCTTTTAGTCCCTTGCTCGGTTTTCCACAGTGACTGTAATAATTCTCAAAAATGGCTGAATATTACTAAACATGTTCAAAACATAGTGTTTAATTAGAGAAATTTGCTGCCGTTAGGTAAAATTTTACCTTAAAGAGAAAAAGACAATGAAATACAAAATGTCACCATATGCTCCAGTTTCTTCTTGAAATTCAAGTTACAGGGAAATTCAGAAAATATACAAGCTGTGTATGAAAAGAGCAACTTCCAATCAAGACAAGGTTAGTACATCTCCTGCTAGCTCAGCAGGGAGCTCTTTTTTGGGCTCAATTCCAAGAGCTGTTGCCTACGGATCGAGGGAGAAATCAACCCCATGGAAGCCCATCAGAGTTTTGTCGCAGAGCCAGGATTTTATCCTGTGAATGCTTTAAGCTCAAAACCTAAGAAGTGCTAATATTTCTTACAAGATCCTACCTACCCAGCTCACACTTCTTTTATATTCCATAAATATAAAAGGCACCACCTTGTTCATGAAAAACCAATTCCTCCAGCCTTTCCTATAGACCTAGGATAATTGCACCTGGTGTTGAATTTGCTGACTCTTCTGTCTCAGCTCCTCTGCTTGTCTATTAGTCACCTCTATTTACATCCTTTTCTACTATCTCCAGTTGGCCAACTTTCAGTTTATCTTAAAAGTTTCAAGGTCTGTGGTGAAGTACTACAAGAGCTGAAGGAATGGATTTTGAACAAGTCTACACAAGCACACCATACACTGCCTGACACTACCATTTACCCAGAATTCCCTAAAGTACCTATCCTATTACATCCACCAGAACACATAACATTGTAGGTGCCATTAGACATTAATGTATGGTGTCCCTCATGCCATTTCTTTTTCTCTACCATAGGAAAGCAGACATGTTACATGCCAACAGAATATCAGTATATGGGTATCAGGGTGATAGGTGCCAGAAAAGTGAAACCAATGAAGAAACAGACACAAACACACATGCATAGGTAGATGGGGTAGATCTTGCCCTTTCATTTGTTCGGAAAGCAATTGGATTGTGGGTGTTAATGTGTATTTAAAAAAAAAGGCAGATTAAGTGAGACACGTACATGGTAAACCTTTAAATATTCAGGGCCACATTTTAAACCGCACTTACCCTCTCAAAACCCTACATTTGCATGTATAAATTCAGCAAATACACACCCAATTAAATCAGCTTTGCCACACATACTTGTGGGTTTCGCAGACACGATGAGCATACCTACACGTCTGTGGACTCCCATGTCAGGCCCACCTCCAAAATATGACCACTGCACAGAGCCTGCAGCATCTCTTCCTTTCAGCTGCACAGCTAAAATGGAAACAAAGTCAGCACCCAAAAATTTACTCTGTAGATTTACCTGATGGGAGCAGACTCATCCCCTTTATCAAGCCAGTCCTGGGGAGGGATTATATACATGCACCACAGTCCCCAGTTATAACCGTGGGCTGCATTGGCATATTGCTGCACTTCGAACGTGTTGTACTTGATATTGTCAATAGCTGGGAGGATGATCCGCTTTCGGTCTTCTTTGATCCGGGTAAGTGCTGGCTCCACCCTGGAAACAGGAACAGTAACAAAGTGTTTTACAGCCACTCAGTGCTCCCAAGCCCCCTTAGCAATCTGACCAAGTGAACGGTGAAGTTCCCTAATGCTATAAGCAATAGCACAGAGGCAGCGGGCCGTGATACGGCTCACAGTGATTTAATGAAGACTAGCTTTGTCTGCTGAAGAGGCAAGGGGCTTGGCTCAGGATAATTCACACAGCAACAGCTGTTCAACTGCATGGGGCATTGGCTCACAGGTGCTGAATCTTTGAGGCTTCTGGGAATGACATTCATTCTCATTGATGGTGCCTGGGAGAGAACAAAAGTCACATCAAGGACAGTGACTTCCGCAGTGGCCCTTCCAGTTCAGAGCTGAGTGGCAAACTTGAACTGCCATGCTATATCTCGTCAACACAGCTTGAGCCCCCTGGTTTTTTAATGGACAGCTTTGACATGAATAGATAGCCATTTCCAAACACCCTGAGAGCCCCTCAGAGGATACCCTGACCCTGAAGGCTTTGGAACAGGGTAAAAATACTGAAGCAACAGTAATGAGTTATCAACACAGCCATGGGAAAATATTAGCTTAGAGATACGGAAGGTGAGGCAGAGGTGGGAACAGCTCACATAGGGGCATGAAGCAAATTGGTTTCAGGTCTCGGAGCAGGACTCAGCAGTTCTCAGCTGCTGCCCCTCATAGTGTCCATTACAACGCATGGGAACAGTTTAGAGCCTACCTTGCGGGTGAAGAGTTCGCAAAACTCCACAGAATTGCATTTAATTTGGTGGATGAGCCAGCTTGCTGGATTCACAAAGGTATTTGCAGACTCCTGTTTCCTGTCACTTAAACTCACTTTCTTTTTAAGTGAGATTAAAAAAGGCTGGCTGGCTCCTTTGCTAGCTTCATATTTGTTACTCTACCTTTTTGTATAATAGGTATAAACATGGCACAGAGAATCTGAGAAATTAATTCAACCCCAAGACTCATCTTGAAATGTCTCCTTTGGAAACAGACACCTCTGCTTTTCTGCGTCTGTCAAGCAGCAAAGATCCAGGCCAGCATGAAGCAAAGGGTCATCCAAGTGCGAGTGCTCTCACATGCAGGACTTCTGGGTGTTCAGCTCCTCTGAAGAGTCACTCAGCATCTTGTGGCATTAGGCTCCAATACATCCCCACCCATGTTTCCTTCTGTGGAACTAATACCATTTCCACCCTTTTTGTTGTGTGTTATTTAAGCAGGCAGCACCTCCCAGGCACAAAAGAGCTCATTTATCTGCCAGATGGACAAGCAACATCTGTGTGAGATTTTAGACTCTGCAGTACATTAACCAGGATGCCAATTTGCAAGGGTTTTTCTTTGGGCGCGACTCATGAATGCCCAGAGAGAGCTGACGTGACCTAGCAAATCAGGATAAATAGGAGCTTCTGTTATTTATATAAGATTATAGTTATGAGATTAACTTCCCTGGAAGGACTGTAGGCATCCAAAGGAAAAGCTACCAAAGGTTTCAGAGAGCAGGACAGATTTAAAAACAAGATTGATCCACCCAACAATTCTTAAATAATGTGTGCTCATTAGACTACAGACTTCAGGAAACCCACAGAGAAATCACCAAAGTGACTGAGATATCAGCTAGGCACACATCCCCCACCATGGAGCAAGTGCCTCCATGAATGTCAATGATAACTGCTGTGAAGAATCACAGCGGTGGCAGCTCCCACTCTGTTCCTGCCCAAGAAATGAAGGACTTCAAAATACCAAGCAACAGGTGCCATGCCATCGACTATCTAGAAGAGCCCTGTAGAGCCCTTCTGACCCGGAGACCTATGAATCTATTTGTTGTGGCATATAGTTATATGTGAAAAAGCACATGGGGCACTTCATTTTCAAGTAAGCTGCATCTACAGAAAAACCTTTGAGGACTGAATAGTCCTATATAAAGAACAATAGATTTTAAGTAACTCCTGACCAAGGAGGTGGCCCCAAGGAAATGTGAAGAGAGGTGGGGTGACTAGAACTTTGCCCACTTTTTGACAAACTCTTTGGGCACCAAATCCAAAAGTCTTTCATCAGTCAAATTCTCACTGAAGTATAAGTTAGGACCCTTAACATTTATGGCCTGTTTCTCTCAAAACTTTCCGAGTTCACTTCTGGACTTTTCTGCACTGTAATTTAGTGCAAAGGGCAAATCTTTACCGAGTAAAGGTAACGCTTGAAAATTCCTAGTGATGAAGACTGAGAAAGGATCTGAAGGAGATGAAGTTAACCTTCCAATCCACATGCCTTTCATGCCTCAAATCTATCATGTTCATCTGACATCTGTGGTTCTGAAGTACTAACACCAGTCCTCACTGTCCTGGTAACCAAGGCCAGAAGCTGTCCCAGATTCATAGTCTTGTCATCATGTTTGACATTCTCTATTTTCATGCAGTCAACCCTCTAGCTAGGACCATGTTAACTGGAGACTCTTTCTTATTTTACTCTGGCACAAAAAAGCTACTTTGCAATCAAATTTTGCACTTGTGAATTTTGAGCAAACTAAAAGTAGTGAGGGCTGAACATCAAAGCTAAAGAAATCAGCACAACACTGTACAATAGGAGGCCTTGGTAGTCTTTATTTCAGCCTACTGGACCTCATAAGCGTGCTGATTAACTTCAAGGTGCAAAAGTCACTGCCTCTACTTTACAGCGGGGGAACCTGAGGATAAGTTAACCGATCGCCATGTCAAGACTTCCAGCAAGTCATTATCAGAACCAGATCTCGGTTTTCTTACCTCCCCAGTCCAGCCCCAGGCAAGTACTTTTATGTCTGCATGCTGATGTCCCTAAGCCTAGAATTCACTTCCATTTGAAGTCCTGGGCGCACAAACAAGTCTACCGTAAGGTAAACAAGGGTAGGGATTTCTAGCTCATACACTCTTCTGTCTCAGCCCCGTGCATTTGTTCCAACCCCATGGCACATAAAAACTAACCTGTGATAGTTTATGCCTCAGAGACAGAGGGCATCACTGCTGTAAGCTAGTTTTAATTTGCTGGGGGGTAAAACCATCCAGGCGAGCAGGCGGCATGCTGCAAATCCCTGTCCTCAGTTACTGGGCAGTAAGTGGCATGCATGCCCAAACCCTCAGTACCCTGAACAGGAAAGATCCGATTTCTAAAACAACACAATCCATCTTTACCTTGCTAGCTGCAACCTCACCATGTGGGACGCTGAGCTCCAGGACCTCGGACAGATGGAATCGGTATCTAGTGTCTGTTGGCTATTTCTCAACCCAAACAGAGCAGCTCCTCTGCTTAAAAACTGCACACCTGTGAAATTTCACAGCTTGTCTTGCCAGATTGGTGAGAAGAGGAGTGAGGAACGGAGCTAGTCAACCACTGGGCCCCAGCTCCTCCTGATGTCTTCCTCAGGAGTGCTTAGGTCCTGGATTCTGCCAACCCCTCCCTCCCTGCTAAACCCCCAGGGGTCTGTCTTGCAGAGGAGCAGCCAAGACTTGTGCCCACCATTTAGCTGATGGAGAGTTATTGGAGGCTGCAAAAGGACTTAGTGGCATCATACTTATCACAGGTAATCCATTCTACATGTGCCTCCTATCACTGTTAGGCACTGCCAGCTAAATTCAGGCTTGGACTAACTCCACTGGCTCCAGCGGCCTTCACCAGAGATGCATTTGTCTCCATATATTGAGTCGCATTGTCATCCAAACCTTTGTTGACTTGGCTAGTAATTTTGCCTATGTTTGGCCTCTCTCTCAAGGGTTTTTTTAAAGGATTATAATTAAATCTTTCATAGCAATTTTGACCTTGTCCTAGTTTAAAACTGTTACATTATTAGGTATATTTATTCATCCTCTCCAGGGATGTTTCTGGGGTACCGTGTATTTTCTCCCTCTTCAATAAAGGAAGGCAGAGGTTCCTGGCAGCTCTGAGAACAAAAAGAGCTGAGGTGTTGATAAAATTCAAGAGTTAAACACTTCATAATGATGAGCTGCAATCTGGTGTTTGAACATTTCCTTACCACACATCTATTCCCACTTCCTTGGCAACATGAGCTGTGAAATTTCACAGGTATGGAGAGATGAACAGAGAGATCCCTGTGGTTTGCAGAGGAATCAGATCATGCAGCGACTCTGCTTTGGGCTGAATTATGGCAACAAGCAAAAGCTCTTTGTTACGGTCTGGGTGGAGCTTTGTCCCTCTCCAAGGGCAGTTCCAAGAAGTCAACCCAGTACTCTTGCTGGTGTGAACTATATCAAGAGCTCACACAGCGGCCTCCCTCATCCTTCCCTGTTCAGTTTTCCAAGCCAGGGCCCTTTCTTCACCCTCTCTGTCCTGAGAAAGCTGGTGGTGACAGCAGAACCAGCTTTGCGTTCTCCTAGCAAAACCAGGAACCTCAGGACCTGCACCGTGCCCAGCTCCTGCTTTGGAACACTTTGGCAGTTTGGGAGAAAACTTCCCTGTGCTCTCCCCTTCCCCGGAGTACTTGCACAGTGAGCATGCAAAAAATACTGCTTAGGATAAGGCTATACTGAGGTCAGAAGTGTGGTGGCAGCAGGTGTAGCCATACCAAAGTAGCTTTAATCTACCTAGCTGGGGTACCAAGAGTAAAGTAGCCACAGCCCAATGGACTTCAACATGAGCATGTAGCAAAACCCCCAGTTTTTTGTTTTTTTATTCATTTTAAAATGCGTTTCCTCACCTTCCCCAACCATTTCTGACTTTTTCTCTCCCTCTCTATTCCCTATAGATAAGTATAAGCAAGCTAAGATGTAGGATAAGCTTTAACATTTTATT